TAGGGTCTGGGAAATGCATTTTTATCACACATATGGGCATGTGATGCAATCTTTCATATGATTCGTAAGTACAAACTAGGTGTCATTTGGGAGTCATTTCAAAATGATGACCAATTCAGGACTGTGGTCTAGTAGAGCTCAGTTGCCTCAGGCGACCAAATTTTATCTTAATGGGCAACTTGCAAAATTTCATTTTTTTAAAAGCTGGTGAGAGCTGGCCACCCCAGATTCCTTGGATGATAACCTTTGGGCACCCTGTAAATCTTCTAAGGCCACAGCTTTGCAATTTCATGTCAAAAGTTTTCATGTCATGAAAGTTTGTTTTTCTTCAATGTAGAGTAATATACTTGATCCACTCTTGTACATTACAGATTTACAACATAGGAAATTACACATTGAGAAATAATTACCCATTAAGTTTTAAGTAGTCTCTAGTTCAGTTAAGTTGCTTTATTGAAAAATAAATCAGAACATAACTATACTTTGCAGCTATGAACACTACTGAACTAGTAGTTGAAATAAGACCTGAAAAAAAAAAATTCTGGCCCATATGGGATTTGAACCCATGACCTCTACAATACTGGTGCAGCACTCTACCAACTGAGTTAACAAGCCAGCCGGGAGCTGGTCATTATGTTGGGTCCAAATAAACCATCCAAGTGATGAATAGTGATTGTAGATATAAGAAAATCATATATGTGCACTGCCGTGAAGAAAAGAATATAAGAAATCCTCGCAGCTATGAACACTACTTGAAATAAGACCTGAAAAAAAAATTCAGGCCTGTACGGGATTTGAACCCATGACCTCTGCGATACCGGTGCAGTGCTCTACCAACTGTGTTTCTTCAGTGTAGAGCACGTATATGATTTTCATTTATCTACAATCATTAGAACTATACTTATTTAAAGACCATAATGATTATAGTAATGGTAATAGCAGTATGATACATGAGTGTGAAAAATTGTACTCTTTTTAAGGGCTGTGCTCTCATTTTCCTTCAACCCTTTAAACCTGGAGTTTGAGTGACCAGCATCTGATTTCTCCTTACAGTAATACTGCTGAATCATTCATTATGATCATGAGAATAAAGTAAATGGTTGCCAACCTAGGAGGCATTGATTGTTAAGCAAATTCTCATTGTTAGTACAAAAGAAAATGTTTAGAGAGGGTATGGCGAAAATGGATACTGATGGTATCAAATTTACTTTAAGTGATAGGTAATTTAGTGTTAACAACTGAGTTGAAAACGTAAATTAGCCACCATAAAGAGTAAAAAAGCTGACGTTTTGAGTGTTAGCCCTTCATTAGAGCCAATGGATTTGATTGCAATCACTCTGATGAAGGGCTAATGCTTTTCAACTCAGTTGTTAGCACTAAATTACCTGCTATACTCTCCCTCCGACACAGCACCACAGTTTCTTTAGAAACTTACCCCTTTATTACTTTAAGTGGTGTCTTGCTTCTCTCCAGGTGCGTTTGAGGGAGAAGATGTAACTCACGTAGAGGGTGATGTGAACCCTATACGAGACTTAGGAATCATCTCTGAGGAATTAAGGAAAAAGGTAAACTCAAACGATAACATTTATTTAAGAGCCAATTACAAGAGGTAGATAATCAAGTTTGTTATATTGCTTTTTCAGTGGTTAAAATTTTGTTTTCTTTTCTTAGGATGAGGAGTATCTCAAAGATAAAGTGGTTAGTTGTAACTGTTTACTTCCAATTATGGATTGCTTAACCATTTGCATCCAAATTTCAATATGCATAATCTCCTTATTGTCCTCTAAACATTTCCTTTTTTTCTGACAAGGAGAACTTGTTTAACAATCAAGAACTTCTTCAGTTGGTGATCATTTTCTTTATTCTCATGACCTTAATGTGTGATTTAGGGGTGATATTGTAAGGAGAAATTAGATGCTAGTCTTTCTTAGCAGTCAGAGGGGTTAAATTTTGAGTTTTTCAAGAAATTACAAGAGACTCAGTGAAATGAAATTTGGGAAGGAAATGTGTAAAAGATGTTTCTAATTTCTAAATGCAATTTTTACTCTTTTTATCTCTTTTTCAGAACAATATGGACAAAACGGTTGTCAGAGGAGGTGACAAAAAGAGACTAGGAGAACTTGTATGTTGATAACTATTTTGTAATTATTTTATTTATGAATTAATTTAAGGGATGATAAAAAATATTTTGATTAAACCTGATCTATAATTTTATTATTTTGTAAAGTAGACTGTGTTTTCTTACCTTTCTTTATCTCTTCTCTTTATTTTTTGAAATAATTTTTGCCATGAGAATCATTTTTTTCTTTCAAAGAAAACTTGCAAGTACTGTTCCCATTTGTTATCCTGTTAAATTTTTGTAGGAGAGTTTGAAAAAAATTTACCACTGGGTTTCTGAAGAAAAAAAGCATGTCAGATTCGGAACTTGGGCTGCCAACGAAGTAAGTATGTTATATCATCATCCACAGCAATTTTATTTCTACCAAAATTTAGTGAGTGGTGCCATTTCCAATTTCTTCAGGCATTTACTTTTCATGATGATCATACATTGTCTTCTTTGTCATAAGTTTTAATCTATTAATCTTTTTGCACCCATGAGTGATGAGAATAAAGAAAAATATAAATTAGGGGATTATTAGTTGATCCAATACCAATTTCTCAGAACTTGTATCATAAGAATTGTATGGGAGACAGTAGGGAGAATTACTAATGAGATCTTTGGATTGAAAGGGTTAACAGTTTATAGGAGTTTTGAAAAGGTTTTCAATGCCACAGAAAAATCTGCACTCCCAGACACATTTGTTGGGGACACCTACTGTGTTCCCCAACTCTGAAAGTTGTTTGGTGAGAGAGCATTAAGGCACATTGGCAACGACATGGAAAGGGGGAGAATGATAAGGACGTTGTTCTTGAGAAGTGTCCTAGCCAATTATATATGTCCGGGATTGTAGATCAAAGCTTCGTAAAATGAAGTCCTTTTGATTTTGTCAGCCACTTCATTTTCTATAGGTATGGAAAACTTTGTTTCAAGTAGTTTACCACTCAAAAATATTACATAACTATTAGGTATTCTTTCAAATGTTGTGCAAGTTTTAACAATGTAAGTTTTTTCATACTCAATTATTTAGTTACTTATTTTTTGAAAAATTGTGTTCTCATTAATTTAACAATTCCATGCGCGACGCCATTCCATGTCTATATCTGGATTGATTATGGAAAAAAATGATCTCGATTGCTTTCTTAATTTCAGATCGAAGTTCTAAACAAACATTTACTGCTCACATCAAAACCTGTGATATATCTAGTGAATTTATCTGAAAAAGACTACATCAGGAAAAAGAACAAATGGTCAGTGTTTTATGCTCTTCAACATTGTACATGACTCACGTACAAGCACTAAGGTGGCTTGGTTACGTTACGTCCACGCCTTTGTCACTCGCAAGTCATGGAGCGACTTATAACAATTTCACCTCAACATTTGACATAAACCCTCTTGTTTTATATTTTAGGCTGGCGAAGATCAAAGAGTGGGTGGACAATAATGATAGCGGAGCCGTGATAATTCCCCTAAGCGGTGCTTTAGAATACAAGGTAACTCAAATAACAAAAATTTCCGTTGAATTTCACTCGCTATTGTCACAGTGCTTTAACAAAATTCCAATTGTGATCTCGTTGGCATTGAAACTGTGTTGGCTTTTGCGGGATTTGTGCGGATCACATGCTCAAAGGAAAGGAAAATTCAGAAACTGTAAAATTTGTTTCTTTGCCACGATAAAAGGATATTTTGGTATTCACTAGTTACGGCGTTTAAGATTACAGTTACATCAGCGTTCGAAAATTTCTGAGTACGTACGGCTCGCCCTTCTTGAAAATAACTTACAAATGGTAATCTGCGGAAGGCCATGAGCCCTAAATCAGAATAACTTATTTTCCAAAACTTTTAGTTAAAACCCTTTTTTCCTTCTTTTGCTAAGCTTATAGAGTTGGGTCCTGAGGAAGGCGAGAAGTACCTGAAAGAACTTGGTACCCAAAGGTGAGCCTTAGTGGTAGGTTATCTTTTGAAAAAAATGTGGCTAGCTGCGTGAATTGTATGTAGGTCTCTGAAATGATTTGGAGAGATGACGGGTACCACGAACAGAAATAGAAATTATCACAGGTCGCGCCCAGGGCGAAAAATTGCGTATCCTTTGCTAAGCGCGGAAGGATTTGCAACATGTATCGAGAGCATAAAGATGCATCTTGGAGGACTCTCTGATTCCACGTCGTGAAACCAAAACTGACCAACCAGAGCAAAGTTTGAAAACACAAGGAACCAATGGGAGCTCAACTTATGTGTTAACAACTGCAAGCGCGGGAAAAAACGGGGAACCAATCTGAGTTTTGCATCTAATTGGTTGAGAAGGTAGCTTAGTTTCTTAACCAATTAGAAGTTAGTGGAGGAAGACAAATGAAATCCTGTGTTATTGTTGGTTCAAAATATAAAAAAATTGCTTTATGCTATCATCGGAACTATCGTTTTGTAGAACTATGACAAAATTGTTCCGATTTCGTACAAATAATTTTAAGAATTTCAAGACCTTTCTTTCTGAGCTACATCAAGGGGCGATGAAATGATAAATAATTGCAACTCCTTCTGACGTAGATGAGTTACTGCTTTTTTTTTTCTTTTTTTTTAATTTCGTTATCAGTGCTCTGGCTAAAATTATTACAACTGGATTCAAGGCTCTTCAATTGCAGTACTTCTTCACAGCTGGAAAGGACGAAGTCAAAGCGTGGACGATTCTGGTGAGAATAAACTAATATCTCTTAAGAAAAAAATGTTTCAGTCAAGTACATATTTTAAACTCCAATGATATCTGCGTTACAGACGAGCGAAAATATTCGTCATTTTTCAAGAAGAGTCAACCCTTTAACTCCTAGAGGTGATTATCATTTACCTTCTCCTTATCGTATCCCTACATTATAGAGCAAACTGTTTATGAGAATACTCAAACTTATCAGGTAGAAGTTGTTAACTTGGTCTAACACCAAATTCTCACAACCAATAACAAAACGATGTGTAGCAGTTAGTGGGGAGAATTGACGATCAGATCTTGGGAGTTAAACGGGTTGAGGCTACAAAGACTCAGTGAGACTATTTAAAAGTTTAAACTCAACAAAACGCGAAAATTTGACGCCTTTCCAAATATTCAAGCAAGAAGATTTCAAACCATCTAACCTTCTCCCATCGCTAATCTCTGCTGAACAGTAAAGTGAATTGTTTGTTTATAAACGCAGTGGCGTCTGATTCAGAATCTGACAGTTTATTGCTTTTTTCCTCTGTAGAAAGGCTCTAAAGCACCTCAAGCCGCAGGGAAAATCCACACCGACTTTGAGAAAGGTTTCATTATGGCGGAGGTGATGAAATTCGACGATTTTAAAGAACTCGGTTCTGAGTCGGCAGTCAAGGTGAAATATGGTTGAATTAAAATTCGAAAATAACTTTACGAGGGCTTTTTGATTGAATGTCGTAAAAACGAGAACATAAGTAATCACAACGAGCAATCAGAAGGGAAATGCTCTAAGAGCCAATGAGAACTATAAGTTCAAAAACAACCAAATTGCCTTAATCGCGGGAAAACGCGGACGACCCAATGGTTGGTTATAATTTCGAATCTAATTGGCTGAGTGAGTGGGCGTGAAGTGGCGTGAGTTTTCTGGACCAATCACAGAGCAAAGTAAAGCGAAATCAAAGCAATTATGGATTACTTTGGACACTCAATTGAAAATAGCCCTAATCTTTGTCTCTCTTTTCTTCGTTTGACTGTTTTCGTTTTTTTTCGTCCCTTAGGCTGCTGGAAAATACAAACAGGAAGGAAAAAATTATGTTGTTAATGATGGTGACATCATATTCTTCAAATTCAACGCTGGTGCTGGTTTAACTGAAAAGAAGAAGGCCAAATGATAGTTTATCACACAACTTAAATCGTCATTTATCATAAACATTAAATAATTTGTTTCTATCAACTAAGTCGATAATGTAAATTGGTCATCGTAAAGGGTCTTTTAAGCTGATGATTTGGGGGTTAGTGCTTCGACGCTTGAAACGCCAGCTTAAAAAACTCTTTACGGTGGCAAATTTACGTTATAAACTCAGTTGATAGACCAAATTATCTTTTTACACCCCCTAATGACGCGACACCATAGTTTCCCTGAAAACTTACCCCCTTTATTCATAGAAACTTTGGAACTGAGAACTTTCAGCAAAAATAGAAGTATGTTATTATTCCAAGACTCAAACTGAGAGCTTTCAGTTTTTGAAAGATGGAAAATTCAAAGATTTTCTATGTCGAATCTTTTAAATTTTCTGATTAGAGGATTTGTAGTTGGCTGCAATTGTTCATCAAAAGTTGTGCCCAGCGCACGCGTTAAGTTGCTCTGAAACTTGTTAACTCAGAATTCGATAAGCTTTTAGGTATTCGTCTTTTTTAGGGGAGATCTAGGAACGCACTGCAACGACCAAGCTACCATTTGGAAAAATAAGATTTGAACGTAAACGAACACTTAGACCACTTACTCTGAAGTTGTGCGTGAGGTCGTTTGAAATTTCCTACATAAGGCATATTAATCAAAATATCTTTGACAAAGAAAAGATACTGTTTTATCTGAACAGATTCTTTTATTTTATATAAAGGATTATCGTGTCCTTGTTAGCTCAGCTAAGAGAGAAGGACTCTGTAGCTTTGCAACTTTGTCACGCAACCTTCCGTAGCGAACCAGCTAGAAATCTTTAAGGGGAATTGCGTGACGAGTCGTTTAGAAGGATTTTGTGACGAGTTAAAGAGGTTCTCAATCTTCTGTGCACGCAGTATTTGTTTCAGGAGAGTTCAGCGTCACTTGAAGTTCAAGGTAGTTCTAAGCTTAAAATTCAAATAAATGAACCAAGATTTAAAAAAGGCGAAGTTTTTTTTTATTGCATTCCGATTATTATAGCGGCCGGGCTGTTTCGCTCCTCACGTTCGCCCCACCCGTTTGCCCCTTGCGTTCGCCGCACGCTTGCTTTATATTGTTCCTTGCTTTTCCGCGATACATGTTTCTAGAAATCGCAGTACACAACGTTTAAAGAGAGACGAATTTTAATTTTTTGAGGTTTTTGATCGCCCCAAGAAAAAATTAGAAGCTGACAGAGGTGATTTCAAATATGTCCAGAAAAAAATATCGGTTTGTAAAATTAAGAGTGAGTAAGGAAGTAATTGTACCAGAAAAAAATTTCTGATCTTGCTTTGAGAACTATGGTAGTATTTGCAATATACTATGGGGAAAATTGCCCTAACATTGATTCTGAACACTTCAGCAGCAGCAGGTCTTTACGCGCGGCCAAATGTACCTATGAATCCGCCTACCATTCTTATAACCCTATATGGATCCAATGTAAAGATGGAAATATTTTCCTTTCCAATTCAGACTCTCTAGGTCGTTCTAAATGTTTAGAATTGTCTGCTGCGAATCGCCCGCACATGGACGATTTAGGTTTGAAACAAAAGTGCAGAGGATATCTGCACACTGATTTGCATTGCTGACCTACATTCTAAATTCCCGACCAGATAGAAGAGAGCTGTTCATTGGTTGCTTCAATAACGAATCTCCGACGCGCGTAAGTTCAAGTGTTGTTTGCTACTATGTTGCAAGTTTAACACGAAAGACAGTTGCTTTTAAGGCCTTAATATAGAAAAATGTGGATAGCGTAAGGCAAAAACTTAGCTCGTTTCGCCTGCCTTAGCTTGCCCATGTAGTCAACAACTCCGAAGACATGCAAAGAGCCAGGAATTCTTCATATAGAACCTGCCATATTGCACAGGAAGGGAAGGTATGTACGAAACCCGTATTTCTGTTTTATTATGTAAAGGGGAAGTATCTTCGTGATAGTTCCGTTCAAACGCAAAATTTATTTTCCCGACACTCTATTCTTTCATTTGCTGCTTGTGAAGGAGAATTTTTGTGATGTGTTTGTATGAGTTTGTCTTTGAGGTCAGAGCTCTAGGTCTGAATGAAATTCTTGGCTGGGTCGATTTGTTGTGCCTTTAGTAAGACAGTCTTTACTCTCATATTGCCTCTGAGCACCCAGGAGTAACTTGATATCAGTGAATCACCAATACTTCTAATCCCTCACTGCTTCCATAGTTATGGCTAAAAATCACCATAGTCTTAAATTTTGTTGTATACACATGTGAATACTGATCCATGTAATGGCACTCGTCTTGCATTTTAATAAAGGAACCTACAGTCTGTTTTTTTGCCCTTTCACATGTAGAGTAGTGTTGTGGTAGAGGTTATTTACCTGTAATGATATGATAGTTGATGATATGATAAATCCATGTGACAGTGGCTATTTTGGGAAAATAGATGGTAAATCTAGGTATCTCAAGTTATTTATTTCAAGTGTACTGAATTGACTTTTGATATCAAGACAATTATTTTTTTCTTTATTGTAATATATAGCATGAAGGTTCAGTATGAAGGTATAACCACTTTATGACAGATAATATTTCAGTCAATGAAAGGTATGACATTCTCTTTATTTATTAGATATTTAATATGTATCATATTTATTGTTTAAAATAAGCTCATATAGTGATTAAGTTATACTATGGCAGCATGAATCACAATAATTTTTAGTACTTTTTTCATGCCTGATATCACCATATTAATTAAAATCTAACTTTGTTATTTTGGTAAGTGGTGATGTTAATGGTGTTATTATTAAATGAGGTTAACCAGCCAGATTCATAATTACCTCATGTTAATACAAGCTGGTTTTGCAAACTTTCCTTACAAGAAAACCCCTTCTGTGAAGGTGAACCTGTGTTTTAGAACACTCTGTTACATATGCAACAAGCATGGGGTTAAAACATGCTTTCCTTCCTGTTAACCCTTTATGCCCTAAGATCAGTATGCATATTCTCCATACTGTTCTCTATACATGTCTACAACCTTATAATGCTACAAAAACAAAAAAGACATTGGGAGACAGATCATTTCAAGTTGCGTCTCCGGGACTGTGGAATGGTCTCCCAAATGATATTAGAAATGCTAAGACAATGGACGTTTTTAAGTCCTTAGTGAAAACTCGTCTTTTTAGGAAAGCGTATGCTTGTTATTTTTAGAATTTTACATTTTGACTCTGTGTAATTGTTAGCTTATATATATTAGATATGGTTTGGATAGTTTTATTATATTAGATTTATTATTTTACTATTTTTTTAATGTAACTTGTAAGGCACATCTGAATATATTCATATAGATATTTGCGCCGAATAAGTATTTATTAAAAAAAAAAAAAAAAATGTCTTAAGGTGCTGACAAGGAGAATTTGTTGAAAAATTAAGAGCTTCTGTATTTGGTGATCATCTCCTTTATTCTCATGACCTTCATGAGTGGTTCAGGGGTGATACTGTAAAGAGAAATTAGATGTTTGTCACTCCTAGTGGTTAAAGGGTTAAGGCCACTGAAACTACCATTTTTTCTGGTAAGAGTACTGATATTGAAAATGTTTAGTCAAAAAGAACAACAACAATGAAATAAAATTTTCTATTTTAATTTATTGTCCAAACTTTAGACTAACTTATCAGCTACAGTCCTTTTTTGTTTTTCGAAACCAGATTCCTGTAAGAGACAGGAGTGGCCACTTGAAACAAAATCAATATTAAATATATCCTCTCATAATTGAGAAGCTTTTGACAGGTGTATGTACAACTCAGGACTTTGACAAATCCCTTTCATTTACTATTCAATGCTGTCTGTTGTGGTACATTCAGAGAATCTAACTTTTAGATCTGTGAATAAAACACCAGTAGGTGACCTTTCAAATTTTCAGCCATTTATACTGTGCAATCGTGATGATTCGCCGTTAAACTTTCCTTCTTGGAGAAGAAACGCACAAAGGAAATGAACAAGGGCACCAGTAAAAAAAAAACAGAGGAACAAGCATAATTTCTAAAACAAGGTGTTCGCGAGCCTCAACGTTGGGAGAATTCCAATGAATTGATAATACCGACCTGTTAATTGACTTTTTTTTTTAGACAAGACTGATCACCACTGTTGAAAGAAAGCTTCACAGTAGTCATTATATACGTTACTGTTTGAAATTTCCATGGCCCGACCCAGTGATATCTGCACAAACTAAACTTTTCAGCTCAAGGGCTCTTTAAATCCTATTCTGAACAATATTTCCTCTTCAAACTTTCTCTTTACCATGTGATAACGAGTTTATTATTTAATTGAACAGGTTATAAAGAGGAAAGGGTGAATACGCACAGGTGGGAAAAGTTTGCCTTCGGGGCTAATGCCTTTTCTGTCAGAGTTTCAAGACCGTTTTGATTTTGCGTCATGCAAATTGAGCAAAAGTGCTTTGAAAGTTTTGATTTACAACTCGCGTGAATCTTCTCCATCTTAACAAACCTCATTCGATCTTTGTTTATCACTCTATCTCTCGAGTGATTCTCCATCTTTTAAAGTTTATAATTTTTGATTTTTTTTCTTCCAAATTTGACTGCACAGTTTTTAACGGCGCGATAAAAGCGGAATACCGCGACTTTCCGACGTTGAATTGACCATTTGAGGTTTCTGTGGAGGGTATTTGTTAAAAACATGTGATGATGAAGTTTGGATAGAAATGTTTGCATTGACTTGATTTAGTGATAACAGGCAAGACATTTCCACCGGTCACTCTGCAGTCTTAATAACAAAGAAATCGCTGGTTAACAGGGCTTTTCCTCTGTGTTCTGTGTTACTCAACACAATAACCAAATGATCTTATCACTAATAATAACCTACAGTGATTCTATCGCATTATTTTCCCTGTTTCAATGCTTGCACGCTGTGGAAAAGGCGTCTGAAAGACGGAGCGCTCTTGCTCAGATACTCTTTGCATTTCTTCAGCGCGCCGCTGTTAAAACACCGTCATTGGATGTTTCTACGTGTTCATAATAAGCGGTTACTCGTGGCTCCACAGGGGTCTCCCCGCCTTGGCGCCAAAAGCTATTTCGATATGAACAAAACACCGGCCTCTGTTCCACCTTTGTTTAGCGGTTGTCGGTCGCTTTTAGTCGTGGCATTGTGGCCAAAGCGTTTTGCCCTGAGGTGTACTTGTTTGTTGATATTCCATGTTGTCGTTTGGCAAGAAACGGTGTAGAAAAACTTGAATACCTCCCGACACTCTGACGTGGTGGTTTTCTTAAACTTCACTCTTCCGCCGGCTTCTTCGCTGAATTTTGGGTCAGTTTTACTCTAGTTGTTAAAATAACGAAGTTAAACGTGTGGCAAATGAGTTTTAATTTGTGAAAATTGTTTGAGATAAGACTTCAAAGATCAAGCTGGCCATTTTAGCTTTGTAACAAAGTTCTTTGAGGGAAATAAAACCGAATTCCAGCTTGGTAAATCTCGCACGAGCTGACTTTCTATTTTCCCAACGATCCTTAATAAAATTCACCCTATTTAAAATATAATTTCAGATTATACTTATTCAAACTTTGATCTCTCCACTTCTCCGACTAAAATTTTTCAATTAAGGTTAATTTACATTTCACGCTGTGTTGAGGTTCGATTCAATATTAAAGTTCTGATAATTTAACTTGACCTCATGAGTCACAGAGGAACGTCCTTCATGTTCTGATCGGAGTATCACGTTTTAAAATATTAGTTCGTTAATTATTTGTATCGCACTGTGGAGTTTTAGCGAAGACTTCTTTCCTCTCATTATTTTCATGATGCTGGCTTGCATTCGGTTTTTTTTTTTTTTCGTATGTGATCAAATATCACAGTTTTGGTTCCGCTTGGTCTGATTTGATATTCCTCTTTTTTCGAGAATACCAGGTGAGCATTGGAGAACTCAATATGTCTGCAATACACATCTGTTGGTGGCAGTGGTCCAATACTTTTTAGCCGTGATCAAAAATCA